TCAGAGCCCGGCTAGGAAAGGAAGGGTGTTTCTGGTGGAGGAAAGGGCAGGTGTACAGAACTGGGACACGTGGGGCAGATGCTGTCTGCCCCCATCTGGACAGGGTGAGACGTTCAGTTCATTTTAGTGAAGAATAGGGTGAGTTGGAAAAGTGGTGGGAAATGAGGTCAAGAGAGCAATCATCCTTAGCAAAGGTTTCTTTTCATTTTCAAAAGAGTCATTAAAGAGTTTTGTTTTGTTTTTAGAAAGGTAAACTTTCACGTGCTACAAAAGGGACTACGGAAAAATTCTCTTCCACCCCAGTCTCCCAGTCACTCAGATCCCCTCTCTGGAGGCACTAAGCTTCACATCACCAACCTCTTGTGAGTCCCCCTGGAGATGGGGAGTATCTGTGAATGAGCAGAGAGTGAATGAACAGGTAACGCACACACCACACAATTAGATGCATATTCGTATGCACATATACATATTCCCCTTTCTTTACACAAATGGAAGTACATTGGACACACTATTCTGTACCTTGTTTTATTAGGTATAGCAGACAGTGCCAAAGAGTTCCAGAGTGGCTATATCAATTTACACTTCCATCAGTAATATCTGGTTTTATGTCTCTTCTCGTTTATTCATTTATTCATTCAGATTATTATTGACTCACAGATTTTCTATTTTATTCAGTGGGTTGTAACCTAATTCCCTACTTACTTACAGTTTTATTGAGGTATAAGAATGTATAAGAATGAGTGCATATTTATGGTGTACAACTAGATGAGTTTTAATCTATGTATACACCTGTGAATACATCACCCCAATCAAGATAATGAACATGTCTATCACCTATGAAAGTTCCTTGTGCCTATTTGTGACCCATTCTTCCCTCTGCGATCCCCATCCTCAGGTAACCACTGGTCTGCTTTCTGTCATTTGCATTTTGTAGAATTTTATATAAATGGAATCCTACAGCCCTGGCTGGTTTTGCTCAGTGGTTAGAGTGTTGGCCCACAGACTGAAGGGTCATGGGTTCAATTCCCAGTCAGGGGTACGTACATAGGTTGCAGGCTTCATCCCCAGCCCGGGTAAGGGTATGTGTGGGAGGCAACCAATCGATGTGTCTCTCTCACATTGCTGTTTCTCTCTCTCTCACCCCCCTCCTCCCTTCCTTCCACTCTTTCTAAAAATCAATGGGAAAATATCCTCAGGTTGGGGTTTTTAAAAAAATTGGGCAAAGGACCTAAATAGACACTTCTCCAAAGAGGACATACAGATGGCCAGGAGACACATGAAAAAATGCTCAAAGTCACTAATGATGCAGAGTGATGCAAATTTAACAACACCTGTCAGAATGGCTACCATCAACAAATCAACAAGCGACATGTGCTGGCGAGGATGTGGAGAAAAGGGAACCCTCGTGCACTGCTGGTGGGAATGCAGACTGGTGCAGCCACTGTGGAAAACAGTATGGAGTTTCCTCAAAAAACTAAAAATGGAACTGCCATTTGACCCAGTGATCCCACTTTGAGGAATATAATCTAAGACGCCAGAAACACCAATCAGAAAGAATATATGCAGCCCTGTGTTCACAGTAGCAGTATTTACAATAGCTACGATCTGGGAACACCCTCCAAGTGCCCATCCGTGGATGAAAAACCTGCGGTGCGTTTACACAATGGAATACTATGCAGCTGTAAAAAAGGGGGGGTCTCTTATCCTTTGAGACAGCATGGAGAAACCTGGAGAGTATTATACTAAGCAAAATAAGAAAGACAAGTATCACATGATCTCACTCATATGTGGAATCTAATGAACAAAATAAACTGATGAACAAAATAGATCCAGAGACATGGAAGCATGGAACAGAATGATGAATCTCAGAGGTAAGGGGGAGGTGGGAAGAGATTAACCAAGGAATTTATATGTAGATATGCATAACCCATGGACACAGACAATATGAGGTAGGCCTGGAGAGGGGATGGGTATGGGGTGTAGGGTGTCATTGGGGGTGAAAATGGGGGGCATCTATAATATTTTCAACAATAAAATTTTTAAATAGTTCCTTTTATTGCTGAGTGATAGTCCATTGTATGAATATACCACAGATTATTTATCTATTCAGCCATCAAACAAACCAAATGATAGGCACATAGGTTGTTTCCAGTTTTTGTCTGTCCTATAAAATAAAAGCCTAATATGCTAAGTGTCCAGTCGTTCGTTCAACCAATCAAAGCGTAATATGCTAATGATATGCTAAGGCTGCTCAACCGCTCGCTATGACGTGCACTGACCATGAGGGGGCAGATGCTCTGACTGATAGGTTAGCTTACTGCTGGGATCCAGCTAATCAGGACTGAGTGAGATGGGCCGGACATGCCCTGGAGCCCTTCCGCAGTCCCTCCCCGGCTGGCCAACCTCCCGCATCCCTCCCCAACCCCGATCATGCACCGGTGGGGTCCCTCAGCCTGGCCTGAGCCCTCTCACAATCCAGGACCCCTCAGGGGATGTCGGAGAGCCGGTTTTGGCCCAACCCCACAGGCCAGGCCGAGGGACCCCACTGGTGCACAAATTCATGCACCGGGCCTCTAGTTACATCCTCTGAGACCACATCCATGCCCCTCCAGGATCTGGTCAAAAAATTCAGGATACATGCATTGCTGCCAGGCCCCCAACCTCCCACCCACTACCACCTTTGTCCTGAGCTGTGGGGGTCAGAGAGAGTCAGGCCTTGAGGGTGAGGGAGCAGAACTCAGCAAAGAGGCCAGAGGTTTGTTCCAAATATTTTTTTAATAAATAAACAAAATCCACTAGATTGATGCAGCAAACTAAGGTCAGAGGAGAGGGGAGACGAGGGAGGGAAGAGCCCCTGAGTCAGCAACGCCACCTCCTCCCCAACCTTCTGGGCTAAGGCACTTTTGGGGAGACGGGTCCTTGGGGTCCTGTTGTGCTAGGGGGATGGGAGCGGGAGAGATTAGCCCACCTTGCATCAGGACATCGCCGCCCTTCTCACCCTACCCCGCAACCCTCTTCCTGATTTCCCCTCTCCTCTCACAGTGTTCTAAGGGGAAGTTTGGGGGGGAGAGGTCTATGCCTCTGAGGAAACAGACCCTGAAAATCCTGCTGGGACACCAGCAGCCCACTCTGCCCTCTTCATCCTGAGGCGCCATCTCTGGGGAAGGGATGGAGGGGACACACGGGCCACGCTGGGACCCAGGAGGCTATGCAGTGCCTGGCACAGGGTGCCCGTCGGAGCCCAGCTCGGGGTGCCCGTCAGCAGCCAGGATGGGGTGTGCATCGGGGCTCTCCCGCCGGGGGCTGCCCCAGTTGTTCCTCAGAATGGTGCCCGTCTTTTCCTCCTTGAACTGCTGCCGGTCTTCTCGCGGGATCTTTACCGCGTGGTACTGGGGCACGGTGGCCTCGGGGTACCGCGCCCGCTTGAAGAATCCCATCTGTGAGAACACCAGGCCAGACGTGAGGAGGCTGCAGGGCTGAGGTCCCTGGGGCAGATGCCCAGCACAGCCCAGCTCCTGGCTCCACCACCCCTGGGATGGAAAGAACCAAGTGCAGCAGGAAGGAGCTGGGGGAGCAGCCCCCACAGTGCCCCCGTCAGTGCTCAGTGCCCAGGTTCTCGTTTACAGCAAGAGAAAGACCAGGGGGGTCCAAGGAGCAAGACCACGGACATCTCCCTTGGTACCTGAGGGAGGGGTTGAAGGTGGGACATCAGGACTGCTGACCCCAAAGGTCCCCCAGCACAAGCTTTTCAGGACACGCACTAGCATTGCCCAGGACACAAACGAAATCTGAGGGCAAGCGTGGCTTCCTAGAGCCCTGCATACCCCGAAGTGGCTCCTCTGAAGCCATGTACATGTACAGCCTGTGTACGCACTGGCAGCACCCCCCTGAGGACAGGGCCTTCTATCCGTGAACTTGGTGACCCAGCCCTTCCCTAAATCCTGAACATGCTACACTCACACTCGGGACTCCAGAGACTGCGACATGCTCCGACTGCACGGCACCTCCTTGCATGTGTGTCTCTGCACTTCATGCCCAAGAAAAGGCATGCATGGCACCTCCCTGCACTCCACATGCTCACACTGCAAGACCCCGGCCAGCCCTCTGTGCATGCCCCCGGCTGTGTGTACTCACGCTTCTCAGCTCATCCTTACATTATCTTCCACCCCAGTTCCTAGGACTCACCCCACCCTCATGCAATCTCATTTCTTCACCCTGAATGTTCCTGAACGCTGGGCACGCTACTAACACTCTCACACACACACACACACACACACACACACACACACATATTTGTACACACACACATATTTGTACACACGCACACACACACATGCACACACACATATTTGTACACACGCACACACACACATGCACACAAACAAAAATTACCCCACAGTCCCTGGACCCCCAACTTCCACAGCCGAGGGCTGCACGGCCAGACGGGCCCGGTGATAGTTAGTAGGAAAAGATGAGTTCTGGCTGCTCCGACGAAAGAAGCCACACTGGGATGTCAAGGGAGGAGGGGAGCAGATGAGGGGGAGACAGGAGACTGAGGAAGGGTGGGGCTGTCTCTGCTCTGCCCCTTCTGTGGGAGCGGGGAGCCCGGATCCTGGCGCCAGTTTCATGAAGGCAGCAATCTCCCCCAAGGACGACCAGGTTCCCACAGTGTGGGTGCCACTCCAGAGGCCTGGCCCCCTGATGACTCCCACTGGTCAAAGGGTGAGTTTGGTCTGTGATTGGCTGGGGCTGGGATGGGAGGCTGTTCCCCACAGAGCCCCGAGGACAGCACGGTTCCATACAGTCTCGCTGTGGCATGTGGGTTCGGGTATGACCTGCACTGAGTGTGCTTTGATGAGGAGCCCCAGACACAAATTTGATTCTGTCTATACTCTGTGCCTACAAGAATGTCCACGGGGAACCTGGTATGTGGAGACTCCAAGTTCAGTCCTAGGGGCAGTTTCCTGGGATAGTTCCCCAGGCTGTTGGCCTTCATGGCCAGTTTCCTTCCCAGCCTTACCCTGCCACGCTCTAAGCCAGACCACACTTCCCTGCCTCCATGACTCCCCACCCCCTCACCTCCCCAATCCAGATCCTACTACCCCACCTTCTTCTCACAGTGGTTCTCAACCTTCCTGATGCCGCGACCCTGTAATACAGTTCCTTTAATACAGTTCCTCATGTTGTGGTGAGCCCCAACCATAAAATTATTTTTGTTGCTACTTCATAACTGTAATGTTGCTACTGTGATGAATCGTAATGTAAATATCTGATATGCAGGATGTCTTTTCAGGGGTCGCGACCCACAGGTTGAGAACCGCTGTAAGGCCTGGCTCCTGGGCCTCCTGCCCGCAAGCCATTTCTCCTCAGAACTCCCACTGCACTTTCTTGACTGACTGCCCATCCTTGACTCCAAGGCCCCCTCCCTCACTAGACTGTCAAACCCCTGAGGACAACATCTGCATCTGACTTGTGTCTGAACCGTCCAGGACCTGACAGAGTCCCTGGCACAAGCAGGGTAGGTGCTCAGTGCAGATTTGCTGAGTAAATGAAGCGGGTGGGTGAGAACCACGCAGGAAAGGCCACCTCCCCGCCAGGGAAGCCCAGCCCCCACCGGCCCCATCCTCCCCAAGCCGCACCTTCCACAGGAGCAGCACCAGCAGCGCCAGCACCAGCAGCCCCGCCAGGACAGCCAGCAGGATGACCCACCAGGGGACTCCCTCTGCCACCACGGCCACGGGGTCCAAGTACACCATCACTGGGATCTGGGGAGCGAGGGGTTAATGGAGCAAGAGCTGGGGCAGCAGGAGAGAAGAGCTCCTCCACCCCCACCTCCAGCCCTGGGCTCACCACTGTGGAGGCATCTCTGAGCACCAAGTTCTTGATGGAAGACTTCACGGTGATGTTGGCTCGGACAATCACTTCCAGGGACTTCACAGCTGAGTACTCCTAAGGGAGCAGGGAAGCAGGCCCTCCTCCTAAATGCCCCCGTCCCCTCACCCCCGCCCCCAGCTCCTGAAATTGTAGAATGGTGCCCAACACAGAGCGTGTTTCTGCCTGTCTAGGTTTAAGAGTGTGCTGCAGCCCAGCGGGTGTGGCTCAGTGGTTGAGCACCAACCTATGAACCAGGAAGTCACAGTTCGATTCCCGGTCAGGGCACATGCCCAGGTTGCAGGCTTAATCCCCAGTGTGGGACGTGCAGGAGGCAGCTGATCAATGATTCTCTCTCATCATTGATGTTTCTATCTCTCTCTCCTTCTCCCTTCCTCTCTGAAATCAATAAAAGTTTTTTTTTAAAAAAAGAGTGTGCTGCCCGACTAGCATGGCTCTGTGATTGAGTGTTGACCTATGAACCAGGAGGTCACAGCTCAATTCCTGGTCAGGACATATGCCCGGGTTGTGGGCTCCATCCCCAGTGGGAGGCGTGAGGAGGCAGCCAATCAATGATTCTCTCTCATCATTGATGTTTCTATCTCTCTCTCCCTCTTCCTTTCTCTCTGAAATTAATAAAAATATATTTAAAATTTAAAAAAGAGTGTGCTGCATTTGGAGAGGGAAGAGGTAGAAGAGAAGTGAGTCCTGGAGGGGCTGCCAGGGAAGAGGACGCCCAGTCCAAGCCACATAGTCACACTCTCACCTCCAGGAAGGTGCTGTTCCAGAGGCGGCCCC